TTCAAGCTAAAAGTTTACCTGTGCCAGCAAATCGGCGCGCATCCTCGATTCTTCACTCGTAATTCAAACTAATCGTGATAATCACGATTCAAGGTTGTTTCTGATGATTCTGTTGCAGCGTCGACCCCGCCGCGCGTATACGGATGCAGCCTTTGGCATTCACGATTGGTGATGATGGTTCGTGAAGCACGCACAGCATGCGGATCTTGTTCGCCTGTGCTCTGCTCTCGCGAACGTTTGCGCAGGAGCAGTCCCCGCTGTGTACTGTAGCACATTCTGATGATGCACACCCAAGGACCGCTTACGAGACACACGATTGATCAGCCCATCTTGGTTGCGTGCGTTGTTGATGAGTGATTGCCGACGTGGAGAAAAGACGGCTGATGCGCCAGTGTTCAATTCGTCCTGCTGGATGTGCAATTCCTCGAAGTCTGAGCTAGACGAGGTGCACTTCCCGCGCTTCGCTCCTTCGACATGATGCGTATCGGTGTTAGCTGCTCCGACGAAAGCCGCCTGTGATGCCGACGATTCACAGTCGTGAGTTCGTGATTGGCGAAGCTGCTTCACACAATGTCGCTCTTGCGACACCTTTTTGTCGAGATGCGTGATTAAGGAGCGGGTGCACCGAGAACATTCACCTCGCGATGCAGTCAAGAGGCGGGTAGGGGGATTGAACAAAAGCTGGGGTCACCTATGCCTCCGATCCGTGCATGCATCGAACTCTGTCACGAGTGTTGCACAGCCAGAGCCTTACTGTGATTACTCGACTGACTCAAACTCGTGCTTCAGGTGCAACCCAGCCTCTGCGAATGTGAATGTCCATCTCCTTTTGCCAGAACGGTGCGGCAAACGCGAATCCTTCTCGCGCGTCAAGTCGTGGAGTGTCATGCAAGTCCGCGACATGATCGGCCCAGCATACTATAGTGTGAGTCCAAAAGCGAGGGAGGCACTGTGATGCATCGTTCATTCTGTATCATTCGTGATTGCCAGTTCCGCTCCAAGATCACAAAAGCGTCCAGTTTTGAAATGCCGGGGGGGCTTATAAAGTCTCCTAGCTTTCGCCAAAGCACAAGTCGCACGTACGTAGACACAACCACGCAGACACGCCAGATCCCTACCCCCCACCTCTCAAATCAAACGCCCACGCCCACGCCCCCCTTCTGTTCTAGACTCTTGAGGCGCATGGCGTGCGTGCGGGCACGCGTGGGTACGTACGTGCGAGAAGCAACACAACGATCGCAAATGGCCCGCTCGGCTCGGCGCGGGCCCCTGCCCGGCCCTTTCAATTCACAACGCGCACGCGCGGTCCAAGTAGTAGTAGTTGTGCGTCGGTGGCGAGTTGAAGTAATACAAGTACCTAGTACTGTAGTCGTCAGTAGTAGTGAGTGCCGTCCGTCGTGAATTTCAGCCCTGGTCAAGGTGAAGCCCAAAGGCGGGCCGGGCCGCGCCTGGGGCTATTCTGCAACGCGCAGGACACTTTAGCTTGATTCACGCATTAAAAATGTCCGACAGCGCATTGGAGTTAGTTGCCCGAAAAGTGTGGCCCACCTACACAAATCAGCCCACTTGTGTCGAGCGATGAAGAGCGGGGGAGGGGGAGAGCTTTGTAAAGGTAGACAGACCGAGGCAGATAGATGGTGGCCAAAGCAGCTGCTACACGCGCTGGTAGCTCAATGCAGTCCGCAGCGTGTCGATCGGAATACAGTTCGAGTGTCGATTCGTAAGGTTGTTCTACAGTACAGGCAGCCTTTCCGCAACACGTGTGCGCGCAATCGGAGATGGCAAGAAGAGGTAAACGATGAGGCCCTGGAGGGGACAGAGAAAGGGCAGTGAGGGAAAAGAGGTGCGTCGGTGTGCAGAAAGGAAGCAGTGGCGGATCTGTCAAATCCAGTCCGCTGGTATTCATGTGCCGCATGAAAGGAGTCCGACGTCCCGCTCTTGCTACACCTCCCCCCCTTGGCATGTTTCATCGGCCAGCTTGATCCGCTTGTTGGCCGATGGTATCAGCTGCCACCCCCGGCCAACTCGACGCTGCAACATGCGACACGGCGAGGGAACAATGGTCGATGAGCGACGCATGGATGAGGATAAGCTCAGCATGCATATACTTCCACTCACATCAATCTCGTCGCGCATTCCAAGAACAGAAAAGGGCTGGAAACATCCTTTCTGCCTTCGGGGTACGGTGCAGGCACGCCTTTGGGCACTCCAGAAGTGGCTGTCAAGTCTGTGGTCCCGCCGCTCTCAGACGGATCCTGAGAGGCGCTCAGCTGGTACGCTTCCTCGAGCTTCTCATTGACAGACTCCGAGTCTATGGTCGGACCGCTTTCCGCAGCAGCGGAGCCTCTGCGCTCTCGCATCCCGTCCAGTCTCACGTGCCCCACATTTCTGAAATCAACCAAGTAGTTGGCATCGTCCACGCGGTACAATTGCAGGTTCATGCGCACCTGTTGCCATTGGACGTTAGCAGGGCCAGCACTGTCAGCCATTGTCCGACGGTCGCCCGCGGCGGGGGGCGACTTGGCTACTCACCACGACATTGCGCGCGCGCCAGCGAGTCTCGATGAAGAACAGCTCCTCGTTGTCGCGAAAGTCTTCATCGTGGTCAACTTCACCGTTGTCTTGACCTCCTGCGTCAGGCTGACCTTTTGGTTTTGTCGGTGTCTGCGCTCTCCACTCCATGCCCAACACCTGAAGAGTGCGATACAGCTCCAACATGATCTCCATCGGGGGGCTCTTGCTTCGAATACCAAAGTGCCATCTGGAGCGCGCTTTTCGCGTTGGTGTAGATGCAGGGGGCACTCCTGCATCTTCTCCGTCGGCGCGACCTTTGCGCAGACTGGTCTCCAGGATCCCAATGCCGGATTGAGACGGAATGCCAGGATCCTCGAGGTAGTCCTCTTCAGTCAAGATCGTCTCGTCGTCGGTCAGGGTTGCGGCATCATCTGAATCATCATTGGGATCATCGGTAGCGTCATCCAAGGCAAAGCTGTGTTCTTGATCATCCGTCGTGGTGCCGTCTTGCGCATAGGGAGGAATCCCTGGAGTATTGACGCCAGTGCTGACGTCTCGGGCTCGAGGCTCGCGCTTGCGAATGCTGGTGGAACGTCCGACGGTTTCGCCAAGTCCAGCGTTCCAAGGGGGCGGGCTCTTGGACAAGAACCCTTGCAGCCCATCCTTTTCCTCCAGATGCGAGGTCTGCAAAAGACGCTTGTGGTCGCGCACGAGCTGGTAGGCCACTTTGACCTGATTCTCTTCGGGCTCCATGAGCTGCTGCAACACTTCTTCCCGCGTAAAGCCAACCATCTTGTCCACCAACTCGTCCACAATTTCTTCCTCGATGTGGCCAACATCTGAAGCTGTCTCTCGCGCGCTGCCCGCAGGCGTGCTCTCTCCAGACCCAGATCCGCTGCTAGAACCGTTCCCGGTACCAGGCGTCATCCTGAAGTCGAATCCAGAAGCTTCGGCAGCGGGGGTGGGAGGCAGGGGCCTCAAGTACGAAGGAAGATCCTTTTGAAACCAAGGCAGCTGTCTGATCTCGTTGATCGTGATGCGTTTCACCGGGTCAACCACGAGCATGCTTGAAAGCAGATGCTTGGCCTCCGATGAGAGGTACGACGGCAGAGAGTAGATTCCGCCTGAAGCATAATGGCGAGGGTCAAGTGTCAGGCGAAATTTCTCCAACCTCAATCATTATTTCCTGGCACTCACCGTTGATCTTTTTGAACAGCGTTGGGATATATTCATCGTCGAAAGGTAGTCTACCGCACAACATGACGTACAGGATGACCCCGCAGCTCCAAATGTCGATCTCCGGACCCGCGTACAGTCTGATGTGAGGGCGAGCAGGGAAGAGAATGAGCACACCCTGACAATCTGACATCCCGGCAGCGATCATCGCACTCACTTGCCCGAAATCACTTCTGGCGCCGCATAGTTGGGACTGCCGCAACTCGTTTTGAGAAAGTCTCCATCTGTCATGATGTTCGAGAGGCCAAAGTCGCCGATTTTGACGTTGAGATACTCGTCCAGTAGCAAGCTGATGAGCGCGCAGGGTGGCACTCGGAGTCTACGTCAGCTTGGCAACCCACAACGAGCGTCGCCGAAAGCAGCGCTCACTTTTCTGGCTTGAGATCGCGGTGGACGATCTTGTGCCTGTGCGTGTACTCTATGGCGCATATGATTTGCTGAAAGAATCGCCGTGCTTCGTCCTCCGACATCCTGCCTCGATCGACAATGTACTGGAAGAGCTCTCCGCCCGCATACTGCCAGCCGAAAGAGCAGCATCAAGGTGAGCAAGAGAGGAGAGACTGGACCTTTGGTATAGATAACATGAACTCACTTCGATAACCATGATGATATCGTTCGGGGTAGTGATGACCTCGTACAGTTTGATGATGTGAGGATGTCGCAATAGCTTGAGATATTGAATCTCACGCTTCACCCTGCCTCCCATGTCCATGGCGGAAATTTTTCTTCTATTGATGATTTTCATCGCTACGCGATGACCTGTGAGGGCATGCGTAGCCACTGGCAGCGTCGTATAGCGGGTATACCAGCACATCAGTTCAGTGGCCAGACGAAGAGGAATATGGGTCGCTTGGATGCGTGTCTCAATTTTGGCGCACTCACATTTGACTTTTCCAAAGCTACCAGTGCCCAGCGTCTGCGAGACAGTGTACTGGCCAATCCTTACCGGTTGTCTGCTCCTTCCGCTCGACGAGCTAGGCCTGCTGGAGGAAGATCCAGGTCGGCTATTTCCCGGCGTCCGACTTCCACCTCGAGATTTGGGCGCAGGTGGGGCTCTATGAGGAGTTTGCGCTCCATCTTTGCTCCCAATCGTGCTCGTCTCTGCCCCATTGTGAGCACCGTGACGCTTCTCTTCTACCATGGCGAGAACGCGAGTGCGCACAAGATGAGCAGGCGCGTAATCCGAGTCGAGATTACTGATAAGCGAAATAGCACTGTTGGATCTTGCGCGTAGTGGACTGAGAGCTATCTGCAGAAAGAGCTACATGCTCCAGACCCTCACTTTGCTAGTCAGCTAAATGGGCGGTGTGCGCCTGCCGAGGTGAATGGCTTGTTCGAAGGACAAGATGTTGTTGTCGATGACACCTCTTGCTCACTCGCGCTCGGCACGCCAAAGCCAGAAGGGGGTGGGGCTGGCCAGGGATCTGGCGTGACGAGATGGGCCTTGCGGAGCCGGCGCAGCTCAAGACGAGTATTGAAGTGAGAGACGTTGTGAGTGTGTTGAGTATACTCCTATCGCAAGGCAAGACGTTTGCAAGCCATGAGATGTGTGAGTGTGCAGTCAGAGTCAGAGTCGAGGTGTAGCTTGCATGCATGGATGGCGGTGCCGCTGTCTGACGGACGGAGGAGGGACAGTCATGACCGGCATCATCATCAGCGGCGCGCTGCAACCGCATGCTATGAGCGCGCGTACGTGTGACGCAATTTGAATCTTGAATCGAGAATTGGAACCCAGATAGCTGAAAGGAAGCACGTGATCGGGGCCCATAGTCAATCCTCACCTCGTGACTCAAGACTCACTCACGACTCTTGACTCACGACTCGATCATCTCTTTCGAGGTGCTGCTCATCATACACGCACGCGCGGCTCGCACTAACCAGCACAGCAGCTGCCCCTTTTTGCCTTCGATCGATGACCTGATGTACTGGTAACTAACTTGCCCACAACTGCACGCCTGCCCTCTTGGCCGCCTAGGCTACAGTCTTGAGTTGCGTGAGCCGGAAGAAGAATCGCGAATGACCATCAAACAAGAGCTAGCTAGCCATTCAACATTCAACTTCATTCTTAGCAGCCGACTGTCGCTATCGCTATTTTGCACCTCCTCACGAGCTGTGATCCAGACCCATGAATCACGCGACTCACGACTCAAGACTCACGACGCATGACTTGTACCAGCACCGTGTCTGTCGTTCAAGGTTCAATTCGTTGATTCATTTAGATTATTCTTTATTTTGAGCTGAAGAAACATACAAATAGACGTTACGTCATCGCTTCTCACGCTTGCCATGCAATAATCAAATCTTGAATCACTTGACTTGAATCACGAATCCGAATCCAGCAGCGAGGCACGCGCGTTGCATGGTGATGCATGCTGAAGGGTCGTGCGGGGCCGCTGTTTCATTTGATCAAGTCACGCTCTTGTTCGCAATCGCAATCGCAATCAAAATCGCATTCGCATT